GTGTAATAAAAATGTCTAAATGTACTTAAAGTTAATATGGTAGGTGCACGTTATCCTTTTATTGTTCAGTTTCTTAGGATTAAGTACAATGTAGACATTTCTATAATATTTATGGGGTATAATAAATTAAAACGTATATTTAGATGTCCAAAAACTAACGAAGAGATATTCGAAAATGCATGAATACCTTAGTGAGAAAGAATTCTACATGAGCGGTAAGGGAAGGATTAGTATTTTTTTTCACTGCACTTCTATACTTATTATTAAATAATTATTGAAATAACTGTGGATAAATTTCTCACTGTCAGCGGAATCTACAAAGTAAATATGCTTTTGGCACTTAGTCGTCAAAGACAATGGAATGCAGACAGTAATCCTCCTAACGGTGTATTTCATAGCTTAAGTGGTGTGGAATAGGAAACTGTTCATGAACACCCGTGAATGTATAAACAAAAGTGTGATATAGTCGCTCAGCATCTAATTTGTCAGTTCCCGTTTGTCTCTCTGGAGCCTGTCGATAAAAATAGTATGAAAAGTTAAGAACGTTGTCTTTGATTTACCCAGTTCTTTTCAACAACCGTCTCATGTATCTTAACGCTGATAAGCCGTTTTTGTTTCTGCCGTATAATTTTTTTAATACATGCGTCACTAAAATTAGTCACTTTATTTTGTCATATTAATTTGGATTTAGTTTAATCTCTCTTGAACATAAAGCTTATCTTGGGTGGGGAAGCGTTACTAAAAATAAATAAGCAAAATATTTTTAATAAGTACTCAGTATTGTAAAGGTACTCCTACCAGTTGCACTGATTGGCAAATATGTTATTACATCATATTATGGATATTGGCTCTGGAAATACAAATAATTTGTATTCTGATGGAAATGAAAATAATTACCTGAGCTGTGATGACTCATATCTGTAAAATTAATGTTTTTATGTTGTGTTTTTTGACATTTTGTACTCTCAGTCTTTTTCCTTTTTAATATTTATCAATTTCAAGTTCCTATTTTTGTTTAGAGCTTCTATTTTAAACAATGATAATAATATAGAAAATTATATTTAAAGTGTGCTATTAAAATTTGACTAATATTTGACAAACAGATAATAGATTAACCTGTCTGTGAGTTTTAAACTGAACCATATAATTATTTAATACAGCAATTTTTATAGTGTACGGACTCTCTGTGCTCTGCCTACCGCGGGTATCTAACCCTAATTTTAGCGTTATAAACTCTCGGACTTACTGCTGAGCAACCAGAGAGACTATAGCACATGCACACCTGATAAAGACAAAGATGTTATTAACCGCTCCGTACAAGGCTATGGAAAGCAAGCTACTGAACGCAGAATGGTGGTGAAGGTAGAAAGAGAGATTTACTCTTCTAAGAAATAGCTGTCAATAATATAAATCCAGCAAGTTATAGTAACGTTTATTTCATTATTCCAAAATTATGTTTTCTTACCTAATCCTTACTTGTCATTGAAGTATTGAAGTGAAAACAAATAATTTCAACATTGAAGCATTTGAACAGGACTTCACGCATCGGATTATTTTGTTCGAAAATAAAATTCATGAATTTTCATAAAGCGTGGCCCGGCATGGCCAGGTGGTTAGGGCGCTCGACTCGCAATCTGAGGGTCGCGGGTTCGAACCCCCGTCACACCAAACATGCTCGCCCTTTCAGCCGTGGGGGCGTTATAATGTGACGGTCAATCTTACTATTCGTTGGTAAAAGAGTAGCCCAAGAGTTGGCGGTGGGTGATGATGACTAGCTGTCTTATCCCTAGTCATACACTGCTAAATTAGGGACGGCTAGCGCAGATAGCCCTCGTGTAGCTTTGCGCGAAATTCAAAACAAAAAAAAACAATCATAAAACGCGTTCTGGACAATAACTAGCAATATATATTTTTGTCAATTTCGGGGTTTTATTAGCAAACCTCGTGCTAATGGGTTTTATCACCCGAATGCTCTTACATTTTTCTTTTGAGACCCCCAGAGGCACAGCGGCATGTCTGCGGACAAACAACGCGAGAAACCGGGTTTTGATATATTTGGTGGGCAGAGCACTGATAGCCCATCGTGTAGCTTTGTGCTTAATTACAAACAAATAAAGAATACATTTTTGAGGAATATTATGTTCCACACGTTTATGAATTAATTGGTTTCTAAATGTTTCCAATAAGTTTATAACTTGTATCTATTTTTACATGATGAAAAATATATTATGTAATTATGGATAAATTTAGTTTTTAATTTTATTAAACTTTCAATATCGAAATCTCATTGTTATCAAGAGATACCATTTCGATTCTATCGGGATAACACTGTAACCTTAAATAGGGATTGTTGCAGTTACATCACCTATTAGAAAAAATGGGAAAACTGCGTGGTTCGATATATTAATTTTTGAGTGTTAGATTTACAAAGTTTTTTTTATTTCTCATAGTCCTTGCGGACCGTTGAGCCGATGGCAGAGCAAGATCTGTCATCGTTTCTAATACTGTTTCTTACGTCAAGGATCCAACCCACTTGACAGCCTTCCCTCTTTGAAAGGACGAGCATGTTTGGTGTGATGGGGATTCGAACCCGCGACCATCAGATTGCGAGTCGAGCGCCTTAACCACCTGGCCATGTTGGGCCAGATTTACAAAGTACATAACTAAAAAAATTACAGTTTTAATGAAACTAATTAAGTATTCACAATAATTTGACAAACAAGATATTTAAGCTAAAGGGTATAGAAGTAATACATTATTCCTTTTGTTTTGTTTTTCTGTCAGTATTTTCATCTGTCAGCTGAAAGATATTTTCTATATATATATATTGTAATGTGTAAGTATTATAAAATGGTTAGCCCTCGTGTAGCTTTGCGCGAAATTCAAAAAACAAACAAACAACGTTCATATTAAAAATAAATATATGACAACAAATTCGTTACATTCTGTGACCCAGTGTCAGAATCGACTGACATGTACCAGTCTGTAGTTACTCTCACTGAACTTATTTGACCTCAAATGCATACACTTCTGACACGATATTAATTCTGCGTTATTGGTATGGTCAAAAGTGTTCACTTTATAATTACAATATGTTTAATTAATAATAAGAAAGTGTTTGAATACGTAAGATTAACATTTTAGGTATAACAGTTTGACTAAATGTATAGCGCAATGCATGGTTTACACATGTAATTACCATATACTATGTTACTTATAAGAATTTCG